TACCAAGCAGAATGCAAGAGTTTGTTTTCATCTTCACCAATACTTAGTAATATCAGATTTTAATGTTTGTTAACCAATTAACACAGTGTGTCATCCCATGAATGTTTAATTTCCATTTCCTTGATTGCCTTTAAAGTGAAAGGTTCTTTTAGTATTATTCACCAATTTTATGTTCCCTTAAGAAAGTTGATATTCTTTGCTTATTTTGGGAGGTGGGGGGGCAATGTTGGTTTTTTCTTTCTTTCTTGATAGTAGGAGTTTTTAATACATTGAACTCAGTGGAAGGGAGGGAGGGGAACAAGGGGAAAAAACAATATGTTTAATTAACATGAAAGCTAAAAGTTATTTGCTGAGGCTAATGTATGCAGTAATATCTTTGTCTTTACTGATACACACCTATTCCTGCAGGGTAAATTGTGTTGTGCATTGTAAAGATGTATAGTGACTAAATGTAAATACTAAGTTTTTTTAAATGTATTTTTCACCTTTGAAAGGATACCAGCCATTATCCTCTAACCTGAGAATCATAGCCCTGGACTCTTTTTCTACTTTTTATTAACTCCACTTTGAAACTCAGGGAAAAAATATATATGCACACATACACACACACACACACACACACACAAAACTATTAAATCTGAGTCTGTTATCTGTTGCAAATATCTTCTCTCAGCATCTGTGGCTTGTCATTATAATTTATTTAGGGCATCATCCTCTGCAGAAGTCTTACATTTTAATAAGGTTATATTTGGTCTGTGCTTTTTATATTCTGCTTAATAAATCCTTCTCTACCTAAATAACACATAAGTATTTTTTTTCTATTTTTAAAATAAGTTTAGGTGTTTTGCTTTTTACATTTGGATTTAGTGGTCTTTTGATTTTTCCAATTTCATATCCTGTGGACCTGGAATTATATTGTCATTAGTCTATATTTTCTGCATTGAACCTTTTATTTCTGATTTGTTTCCTTTGGTTTATCACCCAGAGCCAATACACACCATCATAATTGCTTTAGCTATGAAATAAATCTTGATATCTGATAGAGTAGGCACCCATGCTTTTTTTCATGTATCTCAACATTTTTTGCTAGTTTTGGCTACTTTTCATCTGCAAACTTTAGGATCAGCTTCTCAAACTGCAAAAGAAACCTACTGGAATTTAAATAGAAACAACATTGATTTTTGAATTACCAACTTTTATAAATGGTTATAGATCTATTTAAGTTTATTTCTTCCTGGATATTATGAAGCAAACACTTGCTTAAAATAAACCTTTAGAAAATATGTCTATTTCTAAATTGTATCCTGGGTAACATAACAAAATAATTTTCTCCAAACTGAAATTTTGATCAGAGGCTAAAGCTCTCTTCGGCTAAGTTGTTTTTCGCCTTAAATATATTTACCCCAAACCAATGCTTAGTTTTAACACTAGGAATAAAAACAGATTACTGCTTTATAGATCCAGTGATTTATTACCCATGATGGACATCAACCAATCTCTAGTCTTTAGACAAGTGCACTTGATTTTCTTGGGTTATTATAAAAAGCTTTATTTTATTTTGAAGTTTACTGGCCGATTTTCAGTTATGCTCTCTGAGTTTATTTGTGCTTCTCATATTCTAATTTAGAGTATAGCTGATAAAGATGTCACAGTACATTTGCATGAGGAACTCTGGGTACAGAAGAAATTGCTTTCAAGGTCATTAGGGTTTATTCTTGTCTGCCCCAGTTTCCCCAGGGATTACTGAATGCCTGGTCTGATGATATCCTAGACCAAGTGCCTAACAAGCCATGCAGGGAAAAAAGATTATTTCAGGCACGCAGAGGGCAGAGAGTGAGATGGATTCGGAGGAGGTAGATGCAGATCAGCTGGGTTCCTGCTGGGTCTCTCTTCACACTTCTGTTGGCTCAAGGTGAGAAGTGGGTGGGGATGAGAAGCAATGGCCAGTGGACAAGTGAGAGAATCGGCATTTCTCGAGTACCTCTGAGAATACGACTCCTCTAATTGAACACCCTCAAACTACTAGGCTCATTTTCTTGGCCTATCTTTGCCCACGTGGTGGCTCCCAGGTTTTCTGCTTGGGACCATGTTTACTTGGCACCATGACAGAATGCCTCAAGTGGTGTCTTTGTACATCCCTTGGTGTCTATTCCTGGTCATGACTGTGAGTGATGCTCCAATCCTTCCCGCAGCTTAATACATAGTGCCCAGACCATGCCCCTAAACCAGTGTTCTTCAAACTCTGTGATGTCCTTGGTACTGTGCCAGGTGCAACAGATGTCTTGAGAAGCTGGTGAAAATAGCAGAGTTTTATGCTTCATCCAAGGGGATTTGGGGAGCCTCTCCAGTCTGTGATTGTACCAACTTCCCAGTGACTCTGGTAAGCAGCCAGGACTTGAAAGCATTGCTCTAGGCAATCTTAACCCAAGACTCTAGAGAAGAATGAGGTCATCTAGGAACCAACTTCATGTAGATGGCACAGGAAGTAGTGTTTCTAGTCCGTTATCTCAGATATGTCCCTCTACCTTGCAAGTCTTTGGGCTTCTACAGTTTCCCCCTCAACCCTGCCTGCCTTATTGAAATGAGGCAGTATGTGTTTCTGGTCTCCATGCCACAGCTGAGGCACCTGTGGATCCAGAAGTGTGACCCTTTGGGTATGGGACCACACTTAGGTGTTGACTAAAAGATTTGTGCTCTGCTGCTCACTAGGGCCAAGTTAGACCATGCAGCATCTAACAAGATAGGAGCCCCAGCTGAGCAAATGCAAACCTGTGCTGGAGGCAAATATCACAAAGGCTAAGAGCTTTTATACAGTGTACAACCTATTCAACCATACATGGTGAGCTCTGTACTCCCACACCTCTTTCTCTGAGATTGTACCAAGCTGGATTAAAGCACTAATAAAGTGGTTCTAGGACTATACAATGTCAACTTCAGATGATCCAGACTCTACAGAGAACTGTAAAATCCTAGAATACCACAGATTAGAAGGATTTGCAAATCTCCTAGTCTGATATTTCTAACATAGAGATAAACAAACTGAAGCCCACAGCAGGTAAGGAACTCATCTAGGAGCACACAGCCGATGCCCCAACTCGCTCTCTCTTTCTCTCTTCCCCCAAACCCTCTCTCATTAGCTCAACACAGAAGTACCCCACATTTAAAGCAATAAAATATCCCTCTTTTTACAAAAGTATGCATTATAAAGGAACATTAACTATAAACAGAATGTATAATAAAATTCTCCAGGCTTCCTTGTTAAACGTTCAAATTAAAGAAACATAAAACAACCTCTATTTTATATTGAAATTGCTATGTTAAACTTTAGATTTACTAAGCAGTTGATTAAGATGTAATTATTAGTATTACTGAAAAGTGTAGTCACTCTTCAAAAGTACTTACCATGGGGCTCCTTTATATAGCATTTAAAGTACTTTGAATTGAATTTGATTGATAGGAAGTTCATTGACATGCAGCTTTCCAGGAATACCTTTGTCAAAAATGTAATAACTCTGAAAATGCTTTGCTTAAGCCATAACAAGCCACATAATACCAAAGATTCTATTTAACCACCAGTTTCTGTTTTTTAAAGAACTTAATAAACTAACAGGACAAAACACAGCCAAATAAAACTACAGAGTATGGTGTAAGGACTTGTTTGACCCGGTAGGCTGAGTTTACCCTGAAAGCTAATTTAATGTCATGAATAAGAGGGCCAAGATATTTGCCTTTCTTGACATTACTGAGTGGTGGTTGAGATGATGAAATTCTCAAATAATGCTAGCTCTAAAATAATTTCAGACCTGTTCTGAAATTTTAGCATTTGTGTTACATTGCCTGAGAAGTACTTGGTTTAGATGTTCCTTCTTCATGACCATGGAGTCCAGGCATTACATGTTTAATGCAAATACCTTGATAATTTGGGTGGAACACATTTGGACAATCTCAGAACCACAAGTGACTTGAAATACACAAAATCATCCCATGTTAATTCTGTTTTGGAGAATTAGGGTGATGGCTAATAAATCATTACCTAACCCACAAGGCACAAAGATTTTCTGTTTTTCTCCAGATGTTTTGTAGTTTTAGGTGTAAAATTTTTGTCTATAATCTTTTAAATTTATTATATATGGTATAAAGTATAGATATATGCTTTTTTATTCATATGGGTAGATATCTAATTGTTCCAGCACCATTTGTTGAAAAGACTGTCATTTCTCCATTGAACTGCCTGTCTTTTTGAAAATTAATTTAATGCATTTATATAGCCTAGTTTTTGTATTTTCTTCTATTAATCTGTATGTCTATTTTTTTCTTGTAATGGTGAGATTGGTTGTCTAGCTCAATTTAAAAACGATCACTTTTAGAGGGTTCAGATAAGATTGAAAATGGGATCTAGTGACAACCAGCAGTTGGCTTAATGGCTGTCACTGGACTCCCATGTAGTAGACCACGTTTTGAGCCCCAGACCCAGTGGCTTAAATTCACACCAGGTGTGTGTGTGTGCATATCCAAGATCCCGAGAGGAGAATGAAGGAGAAGGCATGGCCATCGCCCCTGGGGTGTGTGTGTGTGATTTCTCGCTTTCTGTCTCTCTGTCTGTCTTTCTGGCGAGCGCAGGTGCTCTATAGCAAAAATGTGTTCCAAAAAAAAAAAAATAATAATGGGATCTAGATATTGCTCAAGATGTGATCTTAGACCAGCAGCATTGGCACCACTTGTGAATATACTAGAAATCAAAATTTCAGAATTCTTTTATTGTTTATAAACTTGATTGGGTTTTCTTTTCTTCTTCTTAATTATTTATTTATTATTTATTTATTTATTTTTTTTGCTATAGGGCACCTGTGCTCGCCAGAGAAACAGAAAGTGTGTGGAATCCCTTCTCTTTCATTCCCTTCTTGGGATCTTGGGCATGCACGCACACACGCCTGGCGTGAGTTTAAGTCACTGGGTCTGGGACTCGAATCGTGGTCAACTACATGGGAGTCCAGCGACATAGCCATTACGCCAACTGCTGTTCCTAATGATTGGGTTTTCATACTGTTGTTTGAGATGGGCTTCCTTCAAACCTTGTTACCCACATTACCTGTCTGATGTGGAAAGAAATTCTTAGCCCTTCCTCAGACCTGCTGAATTGGAAACTCTGGAGATGCAGTCCAGCAATATATGTTTCAATAAGCCCTGCAAGTAATTCTGATGCATGCTGAAGTGTGAGAATTACTATTAGTGTAAGAAGAAGACCTCGGAATTTAGTTCATTTAGAAGAAAATGTTGATTGAATTATATTAATGGGATGAATCTAGGTTCTTCTGTGTTCTAATTCAGATTTGACAACAGACTATGACCATTGTGTCTTTGAAAAGGAAGAACAATTCCTCTTCTGGGCTTTAAAAAAAAATTTTTTTTTTTTAGAGGTTTTTGTTCTAGAGCACATGTGCTTGCCAGAAAGACAGAGACAGAGAGACAGAAAGCAAAAAATCACCCCCCAGGGGTAAAAATATTGTGTGAGCTTTTGAAAATCAGCAAGTTTCTCTTATAAGAGGAGGGTCACTCCCCTGCTCTTCCCATGATTGACAGAAGAGGCAGTAGGATTTTAAAAAAAAACAACAACAACAAAAAACAAAACATAAGCCAGGGCAGCTCTACAATGAAGGACAGATGCCTTCTTGAATACTGCAATCTTTGTTTCTCAGAAAGTTGGTTTGAAAAAAACAAAGATACGATGTCATGACTTCATTTTAGTTCTCCTGCCTTAAGAATAGACACATATTCACAAATACAGTATCTCAACTTCTCACTTCTGATTTTTCAGTAGTATATTTGACCTGAGTCTTTACTAAGTGCTTTCTGCTGGGACAAAAAGAATGTTTATTTTAAAAATAGAAACATTAACTTCAATCTTTATACCCTCAGGGGTAAGGAGGGGACCAACCTTGAAGAACAGACTTTCTTCATGGCCAGTGTTCTTGCTGGACGCAAGATGGCTTAGATCAGATTTAGAAAACACTTTGATCTAAAACTTTCTTCCTTGCCTGGTTCAAGGAAATCTAGACTTTTTGTTCCTGTAGGTCGTTCGTGTTTGATGATTATATTTGCTCCTGTATCACCTAACTTATCCTGCCTTTCAGAGCTCTGCATGAAGCAACCAAAGTCAGTACAAATGAGCTGAAAGTAGGACCTCTCGTATTCTCTTGTCACCCACAGGTGCTCCCTGGTGTCTGTATTACAGTATGAGAGGGAGTTGTCTTTGTGAGTTTCAATTTTTTATTACTTTGCCAGCACCATGGCTTCCAAAGAAAGCTTTCAGAATTTCTTATCAAACCCCATATACACTTGAAAGAAATTGACCTCTCCAATTCCAGTCTGCTAATAATTTTTCACATACTGGGTCGTTGGTGTTTTTTGTATAGAAAGACACGTCATGACTTTTCCGATGACTTGGAAGTTTGAAATTTATAGCATTTGAGAAGTAAAGTTTATTAACAAAACAAACATACATATATACACATACACACACATATATTTGTATATATTTGTTATACACACACACACACACCCCAATAGAAAAAAATCAACAGCATGCTTGAGCTTTCTTGTTTTTACTCCCTTTTGTACATGAGATAAAAAGGGGGAAACATACATTTCATACTCTTCAGTGTGTGTGATATGTATGATATGAACTTAGGAGTCTGACTGATTTGGGGACAAAATCACATTCTACTAAATGACCATGTGCCATGTGCTGAATCACTTAGATTTTCTTAGCCCCCATTTCCGCATGTGTTTAATAGAGATAATAACACCAATCCTATAAGATCCTTTTGAGACATAGTGAAAAATATATATGAAGACATCAAAAAGTTCATGGTAAAATGTAATTAAAGAGAAAGTTTGTTTTGGTGCAAAACATATTAAAACCTATATAGTATTTTAATCACATGCATTTCCATGACCTTTTTGAAGACCCATGTATGTTTTAATCTACCATTGTGTAGTCACTGACACCTATTATTTCTAATATTCAATTTTTCAATGGAATTTATCTTTTGTTTAAATATGCTAAGCAACCATGAGCCTTTGACTATGAAATTTCCAAAATGTATCTCCTGCCACCCTTTCTCTGTAGGTTCTACAACGCTTCCTGCCCTATAATTTTCCTATTTGGGAAGCACAACCTTTCCCAAAAGGATCTGAAATTCATCCATATTAAACTCATAATGGCCCTTCCAGAGGATTTATGTTTTAATAAGGTTTAAAGCTTCTAGCTTAAGGGATAAAGCTAACACAGTGGAGCTGGATGCAACAGGGATCATTTTATTTTGTAGGATACCGGCACTTTGCCAGTGTCTGAATTCCCAGCTATCAGGAGCCAGGTCAGCCTCACTTGTGCATAGGCCCTGGTTTCTATGTGCTGAGTGAAACATCACTTGGCCTATCCTTCTTCCTCTGTCTCTCTCCCATAGGCACAGTACTCAGCACCTGACACATACTCAGTGAGTATTGATTCAATGAACAATTCCTACAGTTAAAACATTGTTTACTCTATGTCTTTCCTGATAGTTTGTCTGTTACCTCTTAAATTAAGTACCTATTGTTATATAATAAATTTTCCAAGTTTAGCAGCCTAGGACAATAAATATTTATTATCTCATAGTTTCTGTGAGTCTGGAATTGAGGAACAACCTTAGTTGAGTGGTTCTGGCTCTTGGTCTCTCATGAGGGTTAGTAAAGATGTTGATCAACTGAAGGCTTGACAGGGGCTACAGGAGCAGATTCCAACATGGCTGAAATAGGGCTGAGTCAATGTTGACTGTTGGCAGGATGCTTCAGTTTCTCACCAGATGGACCTAACAATAGGGCTGCCTGAGTGTCCTCATGACATGGCAGATAATTTTTCCCAGAGTTAGTGATTCAAAAGAGAATAAGGTGAAAGTTGCTATGTCTACTATGACCCAGCCTCAGAAAACACACCCTGTCATTTCTGCAGAATCTTCTTAGTCAGCATGTCATCCTTATTAATTGTAGGAGGGGACTACAAAAGGATGGGAATACCAGGACGTCATCTTGGAGGTTGACTACCGTGCCTTTCATTCAACCCTTTCTTATTTCTCCAAGAAACTGTGGTTCTCCCCCCTCATTTTGCCTTTGAATGGATTTCAGTTCTCCTCTTGAGCATCTCATGACCTGTTAGGAGTAGTCAGACTCACTAGTACTTCATAGATATGGGAGATTGCTTTGGCCAGGGGCAGTGCTGATCTGTTGTTGGGGATTCTTTGATTCTTAAAACTGTATGGTAGACCTTAACCCCTGTCAAACCTTTGCTACTTATTCCTAGTTAAGCTTAAACCTACTTATAGAAGGTGCCATCTTCTATTAAATCACAACTACTAGGCTGTCCTGATGGAGGAAGGGATAGTAGGTTGTGTTCTTAGGAAAGAAGTTAGGTAATCATGAGCCACACCTGCTGTTCCCTAGGCTCTGGTAACCAAGAATATTTACCAAGAAGTCTAGTTAAGATTCAAGGCAGGGGAACCAGCAGTTAGCGTAATGGCTATGTCGCTGGACTCCCACGTAGTCGACCGTGGTTCATGTCCTGGACCCGGTGGCTTAAAACTCACGCCGGGTGCGTGTGTGTGCGTGCCCAAAATCCTGAGAGGAGAATGGAGGAGAAGGGATTGTGGCGTGGCCATCCCCCCTGGGGGGTGATTTCTCGCTTTCTATCTCTCTGTCTTTCTGGAGAGCGCACACACCCTGTAGCAAAAAACCTCTCCGGAAAAAAAAAAGAGATTCAAGGCAGGACCTGTGGCTGGAAATATGTTTCCTCTGGTAAAGATAGCTTAAGCATATGGGGTATTTGATGTCCGCTTTTACTTCATTAGACCGAGAATCATCATAACTGGATCTTTCTTAAGTTCTGTAGCCTCAGGATTTTTTTTTTTCTTTTTTTGGAGAGCTGTTTTTTTTTTTTTTTTTTTTTTTCTTTTTTTTGTGTGCGCTCTCCAGAAAGACAGAGAGATAGAAAGCGAGAAATCACCCCCCAGGGGGGTTGGCCACGCCGCAATCCCTTCTCCTCCATTCTCCTCTTGGGATCTTGGGCACACACGCACATGCACCCAGCATGAGTTTAAGCCACCAGGTCTGGGACCTGAACCGCGGTCGACTACATGGGGGTCCAGCGATATAGTCATTACGCTAACTGCTGATCCCGCCTCAGAATATTTTCTGAGATTCACTTAACAAAGGGCAGGAGGAGGATTTCTCATCTTTTCCTCTTGGCATTTTTCACTTTCTCTGTATAGGAATTTGTAGATATGCAGCACAACTTTAAGATGGTGTCTCTGTTGGTTGCAAGAGCTATTAGAAATAGATTTTTCTCCTCACATAGTGAGTGTTCTTTCCCAACATTCTCATATCACTGTGGAAGACAGCTCATGGGTAGATGGGACTTGCCAAGGCCCTAAGGCCGGATAAACTGGAAATCTGGCAGGTTTCCCAGATTATAATGTCCCCTGGCTAGAGAATGGTGCCAGATTGGGATGTGGGAGGGGACACTGCATGTGTATGTGTGAGTGTGTGGATGTCGGAGCCTGTAAACTCTATAGGAGCAGGGGTTGGATGAAGAGTCGCTTTCAGTTATTAAAAGCATTATTGCTTTGGACCTTCTGATCCCACTCTCTGTGTATAGAGTTTAGGTCACTATCTCAGTGGAACGTAAAACTTATAAGCAAAAGTCCAATTTAAGCAGGTTTTTGAAGCCAAAGGAAAAAAATATAAATTCCACAAGAACTATGGCAATTACAGCTGTTTCTGTGGAAAGACATGAGGCCTGTGTGAGGTTTCCTAAGGAAGCTCCATCGCTGTAGTGCCCTGCCCTGGAGACTAGATGGCCTGAATTAAGAGGTAGGAGAGTGGAGAAAGGGCAAGCTTATAGGAACAAAAAGACCAGGAAGTATAGTTTGTGTTGTATAAGACAAGTACATCTGCTTTCTGAGAAAGCATGGGGCTCATTTAGTCAACTACCAACCTAGGCTTTGTGACTTAATAATCATCATTACTTCTTTTGATCCTCTTTATTTTTCTTTGCCTTTGCCTTATC